CTCCTTTTCTTGTCTCTTTCGGGGGTCCTGTCCGAGGCCTTCCTTTCCGCGGGCTCCTCGGGCAGCCTCCCGTTGACAGGACCCTCTGCCAGGGTCTGGGGGCAGATCTTCCCTTTCCTACCCATGTCTGACCCTCGGGGTCCCCTTGGTGTCCACCCACTCTCCACCCTCTCCATGTCTGCTGCGAGCCCCTCAGACCATCCCTACAAGGCACCTCTTGCTTAAGGAACCCGCCCCAAGTCAGTAGACTTTTGCACACTTCCGTCTTGTCATCTCTGCTCACCAGTCCCAATCTCGTCGGCAGAACGCAGCCACACCCTCCTCCTTGCTGGCCATCCTGCAGTGTTGGGTGTGCAGGGGCTGCTTGGGAGGGAGGTTTGCTCCTCCGAGATTGAAATACAATTTTATAGCCACTGCTTATGACTATATTTTATTTTTAACAGCTGTATCTCATTTATGATCAACTCTATCCCAGAGGGGTCTCCCCCCAGGAGCATTGTCAAATTTGGTCGTTCTCTTCCTGTTCTTGCGGTTTTTTTTTTTAGTTGGAGTCTCACTCTGTCGCCCAGGCTGGAGTGCAGTAACTCTCAGTGACCCCAGCGTCCAGCTGCTGGGCTCCGGCGATCCTTCGATCCTTCCGTCTCAGCCTTCCAAGTAGCCGGAACTACAGGCGCATGCTACCGTGGCCGGCTAATTTTTGATTTATTGTAGAAATGAGGTCTTGCCAAGTTGCCTGGGCTGGTCTTAAGCCCATGGGATCAGGCAATCCACTCGCCTCAGCCTCCCAAAGTGCTGGGATGACAGGCTGAGCCACCGAGCCTGGTCTGCTCTTGTTATTTTAACACAAAGACAAATGTAGACATGAACATATGCTGTTGTGTCTGTTCACTGCGCTTCCCTGTCCCTGTGGTTCTTATGGGGCTGCCAATCCAGCCTTCCACTCTGTTCGTGTCTACAGGGATGGGTTGTGACCTGCGTGTGGCTACTCCTGTCGGCAACTGACTGAAGACTTTCCATAATCAGAACACCAAGACGTCTTCTCTCACTGGCGAGCCACAGCTCAGACAACATGAACTCTGGAGGACAGGAGGCACTTTCTCCAGCTGGGTGAAAGAAGTGCTTTTCCAGGGGCAAAGAAGAGGCCAGCCCTCAGCAGAAAAGCAGAGCTTAAAGGCAGAGAGACCGAGTCCCAGTGACCTTGACTGACCCCTGAGTCCAGCTGTGCCTGAACAGTAAATATCCTTTCTGCATAAGTTGTGTTTTTTGTTGTCTGTTCATTGTTGTTACCTCCAAGTAGGGAAGTCCTGACATGACAACATCTTTAAAAAGTATAACATAAGACCAGGTGCAGTCGCTCAAGCTTATAATCCTAGCACTTTGGGATGCTGAGACGGGAGGATTGCTTGAGCCCATGGGCTTAAGACTAGCCCAGGCAACTTGGCAAGACCAGCCTGAACACCACGGTGAGACATTGGTTCTACCAAAAAAAAAAAAAAATTAGCTGAGTGCAGTGGCATGTACCTGTAGTCCCAGATAATCAGGAGGCTGAGGTGGAAAGATTACCTGATCCCAGTAGGTCAAGGCTGTGGTGAGCCTTGATCATGCCACTGCACTCCAGCCTGGATGACAAGTGAGACTCTGGCTCAAAGATAGCTAAATAAATAAACGAATGAATAAGAAGGTAATGCATTTTAGTTATAAAAGGTAGGGACAAGGTAAAAGAAAAACCCCAAATCATTTCTTTTCTTTTTTTTTTTTTTGGAGTCTCACTCTGTCGCCCAGGCTGGAGGGCAGTGGCTGCTCCTGGCCACCGCAGCCTCGACCTGCTGGCCTCCGGCGATCCTTCCGCCTCAGCCTTCCGAGTAGCCGGAATTACAGGCGTGTGCTACCACGCCCGGCTGATTTTTTCCAAATGATTTCTGATCCTATTTTTTAGTTATACCCCAAAAAAGGTATAATACCACAAAATCTTTTATGTGTGTGTTGTGTTGTAGATTTCAAACTACCGCCACAAATTGCAGCTGCAAACCCCCTTCAAGGAGAAGTGGCCGCCTCTCTTGGGCCCAAGTGGTTTGTTTCTCTCTCCCTTGAATCTTAGCCTTGCGACGCACGTGAGGGCCAGAATGCACCAGAAGCGTGTGTGATCTTCAGAGGCCAGGCCTGAGGGGTCATCTGGCACCCTCCAGCCCTGTACTGCCCTTGGGGATCCAGCTGCGGAGGACGTGCCGGCCGGCCTCAACGGGAAGCGAACTTCTGACTTGTTTCTCGCCAGAGTCCAGGAGAGAAGCAGGCAGCCAGAGCCGACAGGCCAGCTGTGTCCTGCTCCTCTCGCGTAGACACACGCAAGCGCTTCCCCAGGTTATGAAGTGTTTGTTGAGGTTCTTTTGCTTGCCAACGTCGGGAACCAAGCCCGACCGGTTTAACAAAAGGGGCGTGTGCCAGAATGTTCCCAAGACAAGTCAAGGAGCAGAGGGAAGGGAGGCGCCGGCCCCCGTGGGGACGTCCGCAGCGGGGGGCTAGGCCTTTCCGCCGAGGCAGCAGACGCCGACACCACCAGGGCTCTCGACTTGAGCTCCCAGGGCCCCCGGGGCCGGAGCCCGCTGAGCAAGGATGGGGATGGCCCGGAGAGACAGGACGTGCACAGAGAAGGCGCGGTCGTGGGATTCCGGCTGGAAGCCAGAGCGGGCGAGCTCACTCGTGGCCCGGGGCTGCTTTTTCACGGCTAAACACCTTTCACCTCCCAGACCTTCTTTCCCTTCCAAGCCTTTTGCGGCCACTGTGTCGAAGCCACTTGTCGAAACTGTAACAGCAAGGCGGCAACGTTGTATTCCTCCGCGCAACGCAGCGGGCCCTGCCGCGGTTT